TCGCTCCTCGCTCACTGTGGAGTCGCGAGAGTGGGATAGTCTGCTTGGGGGCTGTACTACTTGCATAAGGAAGGACGACCGTGTACTACTTGAGCGAAGGGGGCTGTCTTTAATGGTCAGCCTGAGAACCTGAGAAGAGAGCAAATGACCGGAGTTCTCACGGCCCTTACCTCGCCGCGTGCCTTCCGTAATTACCTTCACGCCAAGGCAGCTACATAGAGCAATTACAATGAAAAATCCCCAGCACTGTTTTTTTTTCTGACAGTGATTTTTATTACGTACTCTATTTAGATTGCTTCGCGTTCTATAGGCTCCCTAACTTTACGCACTTTGTAGCTGCACTGTGAGAGTTACTGATATGATGGAGGAGAAGGGCGGAGGCGGGGTGAGAAGAGTTCGTTCCAATCACTGTCCATGTCTATACTACAGAATTCCTAGATCCAGAAGAAATCTCACCGGTTTGCGTCGAAAACGGTGCTTCCTTACAGGCACCAGTGCGGCAGCACGCCTGTTTTAGCGCCGTTGTAGAGCGGGCCTAGTGCGTTTTCGGAGGGAAAAGACGGTGGAGGAAAAAGATTTTGGCCTTCAAGAAAAGGAGACTTCTCGGGAGGTTTGGAAGAGAACAGGTTTTGAACGAACCTACTGAGGTTTTCTCCGCCACCGCATTTGGCACAAGGGCCATGCATTCTCTCGTCAAATGGATGACTTATCCGTGCTGGAGTATCCCAACTGAGACATTTTCGAAAGAAATCTCGACCGAAAAGGTGGGGCAGCTGAGAGTAAGTAGTGGCAGTTTTGCTCACCAGAAAAAAAAAGAAAAGTGTTGGAGAAAATTACTCTACATCGTTGTACAAGTATAACAGGGATGTAAAACGAAAAAGAGAAATATCAGTATAAAGCAAAAACAGAAAGTAAAGATCTCAAGTCGAACAGAAAGACTGACATTGATACGATTTTCGCTGAGGTATACTTGAATTTGCATTTCAGCACGAAGTGAATGAAGAAAATTGCCTCCAAAAACGAGACTGTCAGATGGCGTGTATACAGCATGGATCCATCCTGAAGAGGCACAGCGACCTTATTTTTTTAAGGAACAAATGCTCAGAAACAGATAAAATGTCCAGTCTTTACCTGATGGAATAATCGCCGTCGTTCCAGGGTTCAGTACCACTCTAGCGCACTCATCGACAACGTGACCGAAAAATCCCGTTTGCTCGGGATTTTTCACAAATTCCTCATACAGGCGGATATTTGTCAGACTTGGCTCAACCAACCAGAATATCTAAACCGACAAGCTTAGAAAACGGAAAAAATAAACGAAACTTGGGATATTTCAAATTTCTCCACTAAGTTGAATTTGAAAACATTTTATCACTGTTATAGGGCACTGCCCAACTGTCACTACAACAAAACTCCAGCTTTTAACTGAAATTGTGACTGTAGGGTTACTCTGCGCTGCGATCACGAAATGGCATCCGCTTCGGGCGTCAACGCCTTGGACATCAAAACGGCGTCATCACCTCTCTTTTTGATGTACTGGCCACGAATATGACATCCGTTTCTGTCACAGGTGCCGTTGGGCAGCAGAATCGCGCTGGCGCCCACTGAACGCTACGTCTACGACTTTCCCTAGCAAATTCGTTACTATCTTGCATCTGAGGTCAATTAGGAGCCATGGTCACGGACATGGCCTTCATTTTTCAGCGTCAACGCACTGTAGCGCTCTGCTAAGTCTACTGTGAGGAGAAGGACTGATTCCCTTCTCCGAGCGTCATTTGGTACCATATGGCACCGACACCGAAGGCAGATGTCACATTCGTGATCAGGTACCCAGTTAACCAGCGAAAGGGCAGCGAAAAAAGAATTTGGTAGGAAGTGGCGCGCCGTCGTCATCCTGGCGCCAAATAAAGCCGGCAACCCTAGTATACAAATTTGTACTGTCTTTGGTAAAAAAGATGATGGTGCCAAATATGTGCTCGGCGTCGACGACCAAAACGGATGACCCTTTCGTGATTAGGGCACTAGCCCCCAGAGACGAAATTTCAACAAAAAAAAATTGATTTTCTATTTCAGTGCACATTCAAAAAAAATTGGCGTACAAAAGCTTCTAAAAGGATACCTTTTGCCCTTTAAGCACGTGATACCACACAGAAGTGCCACCAAAATCGACATGAAAGTCCGTGTAGCATCGTTCAACACTCATCAAACAGTAGTGCAACGGAAAGATCAGCATGAAAAAACCTGATAGTAGTGGTAGCAAAGAGATCACAAATGATTCCTTATTTAGAGGAATTCTACACAAATGAATAAAAAAAGGGAGAACTATTCGTGCAACCACCCACTTTTGCACTTTCGGGTACGTATGATGAGGGGTGTAATGTCCTTTCTTGTTAAACGTGATATATCGCTGACGTAGAGCGTCCGGCCAATGATTATCAACCCAGTCAATTTGACGAACAAGTGTTGGCGACTGTATAAGA